CTTTACTCATACAATGAACATGAAAATGAATCAAATGAAAACTCAAAAGATTTATATTAAAGGGGAACATGTCACAGAAATTTCCTTTTTAGCCAATATAAACCTTTTGTTCTGTACTTGAAGTCTGTAGAAGTCCAGAAAAAGGTAAAAGTCTCTCCATGTGCTTCGTAGACATCTTTATATTCTGCATTCTAGATGACAAAAACCAGTCAGTTTCCACTATAATGCATTTCTTAATTCGAGGAGTGATAAATTGCTACTTTACTTAAAATGCTCCTGCTTTTGCCTTTGAATTATTTTGAAATAATCTTTAAATTAAATGGGGGATTTGAATTTGTGTGTATGCGCATTCATTTAGATGTAGTTTCAGTGTCATGGTTTTGGTTATGTTGTGCTTTACTTTGCTCCATGTTTCCTAGTTTTATTGGTTTAATTCCTATTTTGTTGTAGTTTCTAGATTTGCTGATGAAGGTTCTCAGTCATCCAGGTCATAGTCATTCCGTAACAATTCAAAAAATATCCACTGGACTTGGTTTTCAAGATTTGAAGACGTTTCGCCACCTCTCCAGGAAGCTTTCTCAATTCTAGATTTATGTTTCTAGATTTATGTTAGTTCTCAGGTTTTTCTGTTGTTTTCCTCTGTTGCTCTCTTGTGTGTGCTGCTTTCCCCTTGGCTCCCTTGTTGTCTCCTCACACCTGCTCCTTGTCAGCTCATTAGCCCTGCCATTGTCTCAGTCAGCTACATATACTCCCCCTCTGCAGTCACTCCTGGTTTTTCCTTGTCATTGCTGGCTTCTCATGTTGTTGTCTTCATACCTCGTCTCTCCCTGGCTCCTCGTGTTTGGTTTCCCCTGATGTCTCCATGGTTCTGGTTTGCTTTACATTTTTAGTTGGATTTTTGGATTCCTGCCTTAGTTAAACTGTTTCCTTTGATTAAATCTTCAAGAACTCACCTCTGCCTCCCTGCCTCTGCATTTGGGTCCACAAACACCAACCAAGACGTGACAGTCGGCAACATTAGCAGTTTGCAATGGTTCACTTACCATCATTTACAGGTCTGTTGCACAAACAGAATCACTTACTGAATGCATACGGGTGAGTAACTGATTGTTGGAAAAGATAATCTTCACAAATGAGGGAGGAGGACCAAAATCACATTTTGTGAAGCTCATGTCATTGTGAGGATTTCAGGTTTGAAAAACAAGCCCACACACTTAAAAAAGTAGTAATTTTCACACTTTGAATTGTCTAGCAGGTTATAACTGAGGCTCAATAACAACATGCATGTTTTAAAATGAAAAAGTTCTGGGTGATGACACCTTTAATCGTCATTACTGCTAAACAAGGTGATTTTCATATGTCACAATGATACTGCAGTCCAAGCTCAAGAATACTAAATGCTGCAAGTTGATAAGTATAAATGTTTGGTTATTGTAGTATAATAAAGACTCCTGTGGGTGTAAACAATCACTTCAACTGTGTGGACATAACACGCCCACTATAATGCGTTCATTTAAAGCCGTGGTTCTGCAGGTTCATCTTATTTATTATATTTATTTGCTCTCACTTTGGGTCAAACATGAAAAGCTGGATGGACATCTTTAAATCAATTGGGAACTTTTCTTCTCTGCAAGATTGTCATATTTTTGCTGCCAAACTACAATAATAGTCAAATAGAACTCTGTGAGCAGGAGGGGGGACAGGATGTAAAATATCTTATTTTTATTTAAAGACTAAATGTGTTGTTCTCAGATGGACCTCATGGTGGAGGTAAAAGAGGGGCCTGTGGAGCAAAAATAATAATGAATTCAAACCAAAGCATTGCACTTTTATAGAACACAACTGAATGGAAGAATTTAAAAGCATTACATGTCAACTTTAAAGGAGAAAATAAAGGGAATCTAAGCATGGATTATTTTAGCTTTAGCTGGCAGAATGTTATCTTCAATGATATGTCTGATCACTAAGGAAATGTTGCTGTAAAAGTTTTTCACACATAGCAATTGATGTCAAGTTTTGATTGGAAATAGAAAAGAGGAAGATGGATGTTTTTCTAAGAAATGAATATGATGTAATTGCGATCATTTGCCAAATAACACACTTAATTTGCCTTGCAAAGCCATGAATAAAGAAGGAGAATAGCGAAGGGAATTTCTGCAGAGGCTGAAATTTATACAACTGTGCACAGAAGATGAGGCCCAACATCCCCTTTTCCTTAGTTCCACTCCCTTCTAAGTATAATCCCTTTGAGACAACATTCATTTTCCAGCTGTTGGAGAAAAACACAACATTCTGATTATATATGATATTAAAATATGTCATCCTTTCTGAAACACTTGTATAAATATCAAGCAAGGTATCATAAAAAATGCATGATTTTTTTTTTCATTTAGAGCGAGTCTAATGGATCTTTTGGATCTAAACGGTATGCCTTCCCTGCAGAGAAGAAAATTTTTTACTCCATTTCCAATTAATACTTGATATGTACTGGGATGAAAAGAAGAATCAATGCTTGATAATGCAAAAGGGCTGATTGTTTTTTTATAACTCTATTAGAAGTGGTGAGTTTGTTCCCATATGCAGGGATGATTGCTGAACTTGTTGACCAGGTAGGAAAGAAACAAAGGCTTTGGTCATAGAAGCGACATTATCAAACAAGTTTTATGTCTTTTGATCAGTTTGGCACAACAAACTGTCTTTTTTAAGCCTGAAAACAGACTCTTGGTATTTTCTCAGGCATGAGAAAAGCCATATCATTCTGTACACGCTCCAGGTCTGTCATTCAGTAACTAAAGCTGTGCCCACAGGGACAGACTTTGATCAATACGCACAAATAGACCTCAGCAACACAATCACACAAACTAATAAATGAAGCTGCGTATTGGCTGTCATGACCAGTCAGCTTTCAACAAACAATCAAACAGAGAATAGAGTAACAGCAGCAGGGGTTAGCATATTGAACGCACTATAAATTACACAGATATTAACTGCAGTCATGCTAACAGGTAATCATTGGGAGAGCTCTGCAAACAGACAAGTCATAAATACTCAAATAGATCAATGCATTAAAAACAAATGCGTGACAGCTTTACTCTGTTACATAATAGATGAGTGTTTTCAAATAGTTTCAAGGGATTTTTTTTCATGACACACCTTGGTGTGGGAAATAAACTGAGACAATATAGAAAAGATTTAAAGGCATTTTTATTAGAAAATCTTGATTTTTTTTTTTTTTCATAAAAGCCATTTTAAAAATACAAAGGTAACAATTCTTAATAAATCTAAACACAAATACAAACTCTGCCACAGAACAATGAAATATGGGCATCTTTAGCATATTTGTTAGTTGGAAAGATGAGAACACAGGCTCTCAAAGGGCAAATGCAATCAAAAGGGGGTTTTCAGATCTGACTGTTTATTCCCAAGTGCGTTTCAGGGCAGGTGCGTGCATGTGGTCGGTTGTCCACTGATCAAGTATTTGGCTTTTAAACAGAAGGAGGGGGGAAAAAAACACGTTCTTCGTGTTTAATCAGTGATCTGATGTTTCACTTTGTATCCCTTAAGACTTAATAGGAAGTTTTGAGCATTGGGAGAAGAGGTGATGTCACACTGTGTGCAAAAGAAAGCAGTTACTGATAATCAGGGTTTACCAATATTTTGAAAACAACTGAAAAAATATTTAAAATCAGCTTTATGATCTTTTATTAGATAGGCATGGTCATTCCAAAAAAAAAGAACATTAAAAACAATCCACTGGACTTTGTTTCCAAGTTTTAGGACGTTTTGCTTCCCATCCAGGAAGCTTTTTCAATTCAAAATGTCAGAAATAGCGTTGAGTTCCAGGTTTTATACAGTAGCCCAAGAAATCCTTGTTTTTGTTTTAAAAATATGCAAATTGAAACAGACAAAGGGGTCAGTCCCTTTGGAATGGGGGTCTTTGGGCTTTTTTTGTTAGCTTGCAATGCCCCATACCGTTCTAAGTGTCTTTAAGGTCGGTCGTTAAAGGGAATTGTTGGCCTGGCTGAATAGGTGAGGTCCTCCGCTCTCCTGTACAGGGGCTGCAGGGAGTTGGACAACTTCGTCCGTTTCAATTTGCATGTATTCCAAACAAAAACAAGGCTTTGTTGGGCTACGGTATAAAATCTGTAATGCAACGCTATTCCTGACATTTTAAATTGAAAAAACTTCTTAGATGGGAAGCGAAACATCTTCAAACTTGGAAATAAAGTCCAGTGGATTGTTTTTAATTTTCTGTTTTTGGAATGACTATGACCTGACTGATAATCTTCACCAGTATATGCAAGGTTAGCATGGCTAGCATGAGCAACACAGCAGCCTTTGTGTCCACTCCCAAAAATATGGAGATCCTTACTTTACCTTTTAGGTTCCCAAAAGGCATCATTTGTGAACTGTGCTTGTTTCACGGCAGAGGTTAAAAGGTCCAAAGGATATAGGCTTTATTGGAAGTCTTTCTCTCTCACACACTTTCACAGCCTCGTTGCAGTGCAGATATGTGTCAACATGTTTCAAAAAACACTTTTTCCTTTCATTTCCTTTCATTTAGGTTCTTAAATCTTTGTGCTTTATTTTTAAGTTGATACTGATAATGAGCAACTTTGACTCATCTTCACAAAGTAATAACACACTTTAAAAAGCTTTGCTGTAACTGCAGCCAGTTTAAATATGGGTGCTCTACCAGAAATGCGGATGTTTCCATTCAGAAAACAGGCCACATCAGTCTTGGGTGCCCTCCCAAAATAAAAAGCACTTTGTATGGCTCAGTATGACAGCAATGTTTTGCTTTTGCAGATTTTGCTAAAATGATTCATGGGTTAACCAGCAGTAGGTAGGAACAAAAACTGAACATATTCTCCATGTTAGTCTACAATCCCATTTGGCACATACGCTTTGGTCTTTTGCTCAGACTGGATCCTTCGTTTCATTTCTTAAAATGAACATTTATGGATCCGCTCTGCTTTAAAACTGCTTTCAGCTTTGAACTTCAGAGGTCTCAACATAGGGATTTTTCTTGACATGTTTTTTTTTTAAAGCTCATATTCTCTGTTTTTTCTCACATTTTCATCATCTTCACCCTCTCACTGCAGCAGCCCTTATTTCTACAAGGCTTGGCAGAAGAGTGGAATCCATGGCCGCCCTTAGAGCGTCCCTCCAGCAAGCTTCCTGCTGACATCTCATCAGCCCTTCTGTCTCTGTTACGTCCTTCTCAGTCAGAATCATCACCATCATCATCGTCATCGTCATCATCATCATCACCGTCGTCTGAAGAGCTTGGGTCTCCGGTGCTGGGGTCTGAGATCATGCCATCTGAACTGTCAATCTCTATGGATGTCTCTGATAGGTACAGGTGGACAGCCCTTGATGGGTGGCTGGGATAAAAGACCAAGACAGGTAAACACAAACACAGGAGCAGGGTACAAGGTTAGCATCAGACTGGGTCGGCTTGAGCAAATTTTGGAAAACATCTGTTCACTCATCTGGTTGGAATCCTTTCCTTCCTTCTGCATGTTTTTTATTAATTATTATTTTAAAGCCTGAATTAATCTTATCGGTAAGGATGGAACCAAAAAAACCTTCCCATGGTGAGAACAAAAGCACCCTTTACAGAAAGATCTGAAAACCCAAGAAGAGAACCATCAGTTGCCCAAGAAAACACAGCAGATTGTTTGAAACAGACATCTGGCTATTAGATATGACACATAAAAAACTATAATACAAAAACATCAGTCATAAAGTGATTGGAAGCATTTATATTAGTGTAGAATAATAAAAACATTGAAAAATAGTCTGTTTCCAACAAGTGCTTACAATCAGGTATAGTTATTTAGTCACACTTTTATGTTATTGCAGCTATAAACAACACATTAGCAGAGAAAAACACAGTAACACGACTTCAGTAGTGATTTTGTAACAGAACAGGACAGCGGCTGTTTAAGTTGTTAAAACTCCTGCTTTAATTGAAGGTTTTTGTGAGGTAAAATCTGAGATCATAGTGAATCCTTTTAGCATTAATTCCATACATTACAAATTGAAAAAAACAAGTCAGTTCGGTGGGGAAAAAGCTGCCATGTTTTTATCGCATTATTGGGCACAACCTTTTTTTTTATTTCAGCATTCAGTTTTCTTTGGTAAGAGTCTCTGAGTATCCAACATATTGACTTGATTTTCTACTCTGTTATAAAAATTCACTTTATCAATTAGGTTTATTTAATATCTAAATTCCGTTTGAGGAGAACCCAAAGATTTTTGACTAAAGTATATAAAAAAACATTCAATATTTCCCTTATGGACAAATTTTTTTGTTGATTTTAATTCGTTACCTAAAACATACAATCATGCTTCCTCTTCAGCATTTAAACTAAGGGTTTCTTAATTCTAGATCAGGAATCCCCACAGTCTGTCCTCAAGGGCCGCTGTCCTGCAGGTTTAAGAGGTTTCCCTGCTGTAGCACAGCTGATTATGTTAATTGCAGTTGAGCAAAAGCCTGTTAATCAGCTTTCAACTAAAATCAGTTGTGCAGGAGCAGGGAAACCTCAAAAACCTGCAGGACAGCGGCGCTCCAGGACCGACTTTGGGAATGCCTGCTCTCGATAAAAACTCCAGTGTCATATAACAGTGATGCGGGATCTGGAGTCAACAAATCATCTCATGGATTTGTTCTGCCCAGCTACTGAATCAGGTTTAACCTGTGCAGATTGGACTAATCTGGTTCTGCTGCTGTACAGAACAAATACATGACATAGAGCTGACTTGTTGACTCCAGATTATGCTGTTATTACCGTATATCCCTTAAGAGATCTCTGTTTCGTTACATAAAAAATTGGGTTGCTTTTGTGCCGAAATGTGGACAAATAAATTTGCTTTTGTTTAATAGAAGAGGGCACATCTAACAAATGTGTTTTGGAGAGTTTGACCTGGATGTTTTCTTAGGCAGAAAGCTCTAACCCTTAATGCTAAAGCGTTTCCAGAGGTACAGACAATACAGGAGATTATCGTCATAAGTAGAACGAAACCAGTACTAACCAGAAAGTCCTGTTTCTCTTTGGACCATCCCTGATGCATTTCTATCGTCTTTTTCATCATACAGGGAGAGTTTAAAAAAAAAATCTCCAGTTATTGGCAGCTTTTACTGCACCACGGAACATACATAAAATGCTGGGAATTTGTTTTGTACACCTAAACCTGAATGATACTTTTGTCCAATATGACCTAAAGAAGACTGAATGCTGGAAATGAATCCAAAATGTTTTTAAGTCCTTAAGAGGCCTGGTCACGTACTTTGACAACCAATTTGTACACCAGTAGCATGTTCTTTTGGCTAAAATGTTCAATTTCTGTGTTTTACTTCTTTTTTTTCACTTCCCCTGTTTGTAAACTTCAGCGTTTTTAACTTTCAGTATGACAAGACCACATGACTGGATGTACGATGTTGTGCTTGTGTTTAATGGGAAAAGAAGGAAGTTATTAAGCCAAGCATTTCCCAGCAGAGATGTGAAAAGAAAGGAAAATTCAAGGATCATATGTAAAAATGCTTAAAACTATTGCAGGAATCAAGGAGGATAAAACACTGATGTCACCTGGAATGCAAAAGCAAAAAAAAAAAAAAGCTTAATTGAAGGGGGAGCTAAAGCTTCAGAACATGGCAAGTTGATGGATGTGTCAGTAAGTGCTGCCAGCAGATGGCGATAGTGAGCAACAGTATTTGCAGCCGCTTATGGTGAGTGGTTAAAAATTGTTTTTGGGCTCAAAAAGGACTAAGTGAATACTATTCGGACAAATGCTTGGTGCGTTTTGCTTTATCCTTACATGAGCATACAGTTTTCAGCATTTTCTTAATAGGCAAAGTACGTGACAAAGTCTCTTTAAAGGCTCTGCATGCCTATGTGACCAGGATGCTGCAGCTTTTGTATTTTTGTTTTTGTAGTGATTTTCTGTTAAGTTGTAAAAAATGTTAAATCAAATGTAGAAAAAAGCTGATTCACCATGATCTATACCTTTTTACCTAGCATCTCACTAGGGTGTGTTGTTGATTTTCAACATCCATGGTAAGCCAACCTCAGAGGTTAAATTAATGATTTAAGAAATTTTCACGTAAAGCTTGGAAAGTGCTCAATGTTCCTATTGTTTCTGGAAATAATACACCAAACAGTTGTCATGTACTGGATTCATACAATGGGACTTGGATTGTATTAGTCGGGAAGTAAACAGCAGGAATACACCATTGTTCTACATCTTCATCATCAAAACATTTACTCTGAACAGGAAATGTGGCTGGAGGCCCATTTACCCAAAACGGAAAAGAGGAACTGATAAAACAGTTGTTTCTCTAAAGAAATGAAAGGCGCATTGTAATTCTCTAGCGGCTAAGTAGCAATCTGGCTAAAGTTCAGTTTTCTATGTAAAGGCACATGCTTCAATACATTCTGCTTTTTAACAGCTTTCTGTTACAGGTCCAAATGGGGGATCCAAAGTATGCCGTCGCATTTGGAGGAAGAAAAAGAAGCATCGAGCAGGAAAAAGAGCCCAAGAACCCAGAAGGGAGCACAGCCCTGATCCCCAGAGTCTCACATGGAGCAAGAGAGAAAGCGTTTTAATCTTCTGCTCCTCTCTCAGTCCCCTCTCCATCTGTTACATTTCATCGGTCTTACCACGCTGTGGGGTCCTTCCTCTCTTTGCGGGGAGCCTCTTCGTCGCCCTCCAGCTGTCTCTGTTTGTATTTCCTCTTACATCTTCTGCAGGACATGATGATTATGAGCAAAAAGACCACAGCGGCGATACCAGCTCCGATGAACATGGCTAGTTTCAGAAGTTCGTTGAAAGAAGCTGTGACGAAAAAAAACAACAACAAAAAAACAAAACACAAGAATAAAAATGGGTGCTGGACATGAACAGAACAAACGGTTACATTTATTAGCTGTATGGTTCAGTCTTAGTCTGAAATGTTTAACGGCTGCAGAGGCCTGAAGAAGAAAAACTATTGGTACCAGATCTGCCATACATAATAATTTTAAATCTGTCTTCAACAGGGGGTCCGTGACCCCTAGGGGGTCCACAGAGGTACTGCATGGGGGTCGTAAAATACTTTTAGACTTTTTTTATATTCCCCCCTGCAATTTTTCAACTAATTTATGTCTTTAAATACACATTAACATGAATTCAACATACTTTAGTAAACAGATAAATGGAGGCTGAAGATCTCCTTCAGTCATCAATGAACACATTCAGCGACACAATTAAATTTTCAATTCAATTTCAATTCAGTTTATTTTTAAAGCGCCAATTCACAACACATGTCATCTGAAGGTACTTTACAGTTCACCAGATCAAAAAGTCAAATTGATTCAAAGTTTTCTATCTAAGGAAAACCAGTTGATTGCATCCATTCATTGACTCAAATGCAATCCCTCACACTAAGCATGCTTGTAGCGACAGTGGAGAGGAACAACTCCCTTTTTAGCAGGAAGAAACCTCCAGCAGAACCAGGCTCAGAAATCAGGAATCAGAAATACTTTAATAATCCCTGGGTGAAATTGTGTTTGTTACATTACTCCATCTGTAATAGAGTGACTATAGAATCAGTTTGATATAACACAATTTCATACAATATATATAATTAGGGGGTCCTCACTGCATCAAGCCCCCTGGTTTAAATTAACGATATCTTATCACCTTACTCTGCCTGCTAAGGCTGAGTCACTGTCTGAGACATGACAGACGATGTAATGTAGTCCCCTCACAGTTTTATGCTTGTGAAGATTCTCAGTCATCCAGGTCATAGTCGTTCCAAAAAAGTAAAAAAACAAAACAACTCACTGGACTTTGTTACTCCGTTTACACGATGGGAAAACGCAGATATTTCCCTGCGGTTTGACCTCTTGTTTACACCAAAGCCCCGATTTTATTTCTATTTTATTATTTCTGAAACCTCCGGCCTAAGTAAAGATTTCTGATAACGTCTGTTATGTGCTGCCGTGGCAACAGGGATAAAAGTCACATTAAGTGCCAGAAAATCCTTAACATCATGTAAGCACCTGATGTTTACAGTTTTTTTTGGTGCTCAACAGTGTATTTATGCGGGTTGATGTACATGAGAAGTTTTTTGAAAACAACGTTGTGCTTTCCAAAGGGGCGGACCTGTTCTTCAATTTGCATGTTTTCTTTGCCAAAACAAGTTTTTGGGCAACAATATCAATCTACAAACTCAAGGTTAATTCAGACTTTTTGAATTGAAAAAGCTTCCTGGATGGGAAGCGAAACGTCTTCATATTTGGAAACCAAATTTGTTTTTTTAACAAATTTGTTTTTTGACTCACAGTTTTAGTTTCAGTAAAAAAAAAAAAAACAAATAAGTTTGCCCTGTAGAGTAACAATTGTCTACATAAAGGCATGATCCTATTATAATTTGTTCTAATGCTTGCCCTTTTATCCCTTCCAATGAGGAGGGAGAAAAACTGGGCTTTTAGGAAAACAACAGACAACACTATACAGTACTATACGTTTTATTTGCTTCTCCTGCATTGGCGATAATTAAAAGAGGCACACGTAGGTGGGAATAAAGCCTCATTCACAGGGACTACCCCATCTTAGCCCCAAATAGAAGCCTTTCTAGCCAATGCAAAAAATCCTGATGGCTCTGTAGTAGTATGACGGACTGCCATCCTCCATCATCTGTCAGAAGTATAGAGAAAATCCATTTCTGTTAGGAGTCCTAAGTGTGGTTTGTGTTTTATGTGTTTGTCTTCCTTCCTCCACCAGGCGGCGCCTGGTCCTGATTCCCCTCCTCACATACCTGCAAAGGGTTACCTCATTAACGGAGTGCTCTTAAGCTCCTGACTGCCACTACCTCGAGGCCAGAGTGTTTGCCAGTTTTGGGTACTCTAGCCAAGCTGAGTTTTGCTGAGTCAAACTGAGTTTTTGTCAACCTGAGTTTTTAATCTTGCTATTTTTTTTCTTTGCCTCTTGGCAGGAAGTCATCCTGCAATGTGGACATTTCGGACCTTCTCTCCCTGGAAGGATCAACTGAGCCTCAAACTGAGCTGGGGATTCAAACTGGAGGTTTGGATCAACTTTCCTCCAAGGGATCGTTTGAGTTTCACACTGAGCAAGGGATTCATCTGCACCACAGTCCGTTCAAGTACCGCAGGAAATCTAAGTGGCAGTCAGTGTCTCCGTTCTCCTACAAACAACCGCATTCTGGGTAAACCCTGTCCGCCCTCTACCGAATGAGACAAACACTGGAACACCCCACACCGACTGGAGTCAAAGAGTCAACCACTTTTCTGGAAACGTGAGTCTGCAAACCATTTCTCCTCTTCAATTTCGAGAATCAATTTTCCCACTGAACCTGAACTAACCGCAGTGTCTTCCCCTCACCTTTCAGTTCCGGTTGAGCAGTGTTCAGAGCTACACTGAAATCTCCACAAGCTTCTCAATAAACCTGTTTAACTTTTTCCCTGGTCTGTCTGTATTGGTTTATGTGCATCTGGGTCCGAGCCCTTGACAAAATCATGACAATTTCTGATGCAGCAGAATGGACCAAAATATCTAACTACCCGCTCTGCAAAAAGAGTAAAGAAATGTTGCCGTATTTCAAAATAAAATAGTTGGTAGGATCCTGAATGAATCCTCCAGTGTGGATCGACACATGGCACGCTTTGCCAGGAGTGATAGAGCAGCTGGGGGAAGTAATCAGTGTGAATTAAAGTCAGAGTTAAAGGCAAATTAAAATAATTGGATCTTAATGAATTTATTTTTCTATTACCTGAAGGCTGCTTTTAATATAAAAAATATAGAACAATGACAGAAGTGTTTGTCTCTCTTCATACACATGGAAATCGATCCTTAAGGCAGGGTTATGCTTAATGCACATAGGTTAGATGCAGAATTTGGACGCAAGCATTCAACACTGCACAATGTCTGGAAGTAATGTTTTCTGTCATCCAAGAGTGATAAGACTTTCTTTCCAATAGTTATTATGACCCAAATCATAAGGGATGTCAATCTCAACTAATCCAAATTACTGAAAAGTTATAAACAAAAAAAGGTTAAGGCATAAGCAACAAGTGCAGGAAGTGGCCTGTATAACAGTTTAAATAATCTTAATTTCTCTAGAAGCAGAATCATGAATTTCCTAACCAAATCTGATGAGATCTGTCAAATAACTATTTGATTACAATGAAAGGTAAATGTACTTTGACGCCTGTACGTTGCCAAAGTACCATTTTGTAGAATTTCAGCTGCTCACCTGTTGTGACAACACGGAATTTAATTTCGCCAAAGTGACCGTGGACATCAGGAGGATTTGTCACCTGGCAGGTGTAGGTGCCATTATAGGCAAACTTGACCTCTCGGATTATGATGGAGGCATCACCCCCCATGATATCACCAGCCCAAGAGATGCGCTTCTTGAAGATACCTTCAGTAATAGGATACGGTCGTGTATGGTAGTAAAATATCTGCAAACAGAAAATAAGTATAGAAAATAAAAACAAAAGATTTCTGTTTTAGAACGAGAGGACAGTGAATAAGGACTTACTAACATGCATAAACCTTCAAATAGAAAGGCTGTCTTAGATGCTCCATAGAGAGTCTTATAACTCAGGACCTTCTCTCTCAGCTGAATGAGGATTGAAGGTGTGAGGTCTGCTCTCTTTTTCTTCACTAAAACACCACACAGATATATACGAACTCACCGTTATCCCAACGCCTCCAGTAAGAGGTCTGAAGGTCCAGGAGACAGTGACAAGATTGGGGTTGATCTTAGCCGAACTCTCAAATGTGCACTTCAGGCGAGTATCTGTACCGTTGACCGCGTCAACTTCCTCAGATGTGTAGATACGTATCCCGTTGACCTGCAGCACTCCTGCAAGGGCAGACAGGAATGTCACATGCAGAGAAACAGCAAGACCATTTAGAAACAACAGTTGGTTCATGAATTTTAACTCATGTTAATTGACTCTTTGACTTTATGCAATGTACCCGGTGACCCTACCTGTGTCTACCTGCTGCTGCTACAAGGAAACTGTGATTAATAGCAAAGAGGAAGACTGGCACAAATTTCACTGGACACATTATTGATTAATGAAATCCCCCTGAAATAATTCAGCAGTCCCAACAACAAAATTATTTTCCAGGAGCATGCAAACACATGACGCTCTGGGGAGGTTTATGTGATGGCTGTCTGGGCTAAATCACCTGCGCTATTTATAGAAGGAGCCACATATTCTCCAAGTGGAAGGATGTCTGGCCTTATTAAAGCCGATGCCCAGGAGAAAAGTCAGCCGCAGCACAAGTTAGAGTAGTCAAGACTTTGTTTGCCATCATCGTAATTTTAATGTATAGAAGCTTTGCTTAATTAAGTAAATCCCCTTTCTGACTTTGCTTTAGCATTATTTGGATTTGTTAGATTTTGTGCAGTTGGATTATGACCAGATACAGATTAAAAAAGAAAAAAACATCTTGGAATTTATTCCCAACTGTTCATCAAATACTATTTACTGGTAAAAAGTGAAAACTACACGTCCTACATGTATGTCCAGATGTGAAAGATAAAGGTTTGTCACTGTTTGTTTATCTTTTAGCCATGCAAACCGGGTCTCCTGCCATCACTTCCAATATTTGGTGCAGTAAGACTTTTAGGCTCAGAAAATGATCTTGATAGTTATGACACTTTAAACTCTGGTGGTCTCTTTCCGCACCACAAATATTTCTATTTGGTGCCTCCTTACAAAACACAGAACGGCAAAAGTAAAAACAAAAGGTTTTTTTTCCTCTGATGAGAAGTAATTCTAGACATTCTTTCCAAAGGCTTCCAATGTTACTGACTATGCAAGATGATCCTATTTGAGATGTTTTCCAGCAGGCTCAGTGGAAGACTATTCCCATCTGGGAAACTTTCTTGTTCAAAACCAGACATGGAACTTTTAGTTGCAGAGTAATAAATGTAATAAACTGCTTTGCATTTTCATACATTTTCTGTTTGCACTTATAATTGTATCCATTCATGCTGAAGACAAAAGCTTGCTTACTGTACTGCAGCTATGATTTTGCACCACATTTAACAAGAACATTGGGTCAAACGCAGACTACGAAAATGCCAGTAAAGGGCTTTGCTTTTCTGAGCTGCATTTCGAGCTTCCTTATCAGTGGTTCCTGTAGACTGGGAGAAGAAAGAGAGAGAGGGGGGCCCCCCTTAAAGTCATTAAAGAGACCTGCTACTCTCTCATCGTCGGACCAATAACAGCACCCTGACAGCCTAATGTGTTTTAAATGAACATGAGGAAATCTGGCAGTAGGTCAAACAAGTGAGCAATACAGGCAAATGGAAAAAAAAAAGTAAGAATCCTTTGAAGCTTTTTAAAATCCTGCGCTGTCCTGGATAAGCAGAAACCTTCTCTCCTCTTTGTCCAGCTGGCTGTCAGAAAGGACACACTAAAGTCAGTGGATTAAACCGCCGCCATGCAGGATGTTCATTAGGATGATAGCATCAGTGCCAGCTCTATCAGTCCAGCCAGTAATGACTGGCTCTCTAGCCTGCATGCAGGTGTGTGTGCATTATGCATTAAAATCCCAGTTAATACATTCAAAACACTGAATAAGAATCATATTAACTCTATTCCAGAAGATTTTACAGGTATTTTTGTAAAGGTTGAAGAAAGGAAATAAAGGACACAGAAGAATGGAGGAAAGTCAAAACAGTATTTAATTGCACATATCAAATATAATACTGTGTCTCATTTTGGTTTATAATGGCACCTTACAGCAGGTTTTACAACTTTCTATAAACACAGATTTTTGTGCTTTTAATATTAAGATCAACAAAAATATAAAATAGTGAGATAAAAAATGGGTTTCCATCTGAGAGATAATTTGAAGTGAAACTTCAGAGAAAAGTGTTGATTACAAAATGAACTTAGGTTGAAATCACAGCTGCTGCAAAAAACAACATAGTCATTGCGAGCCAGAGGATAAATATAGTCCATTAACTTCAAATATTAACGATTTATTATGGCTGGGATGTTGTGATCAATTCCCATGTATAAATTGAGAGTTCATATTATAGCTTTTTAAATGACCGCTATCAGAATAGCTGACTGTAGTCCAGGTTGTTTTCCTGTCTTTGGTTTTACATCACATGGAGATTAAAAGTTGGCAGCTTCAGTAACACATTGCATAAAAAAAATAAAAAAAATATATCACCAACTATGATTAAAGAGTTTCAGCTACAACTTGCTAACTTAGTGGTGATATTTACTGAGGTAGTAATGAAAGCAATATATGGCCCAAAACAACAGGTTTTTTAGTTTCAGATGAAACAAAACCCTTAAAAGATGGTAGATTTTTTTCCAAGAGCAAAAGCCTAGAAAAAGATAAGATAAATAAACTGAATAATAACTGAATCTAATTATTTGCTGTATTTTATTGCACTGAAAATGTAGTTTAGGCAAACATTCTTGCAAGAAATAAAGCTGGTAAATGATTTGTCTCAGAGAAATGGCTGTAAGGAGAATTTAAAACTAGATAGGACTTACGTTGTAGAAACTGTCATTAAGCCTCTGAGATAAGTGTTGCAAAGACTTGTTTACTCCTGAGAAAATTGGCCTAATCTCTGAAAGATCTGCTCCTTAGAGATCACAAACCAAAGTCAAACACATTACTTTTTACATCCTTGTTTAGAGATTAAAGAGCAAATGCAAGATTAGAGAACTAAAGATGTGAAATTCAAATTGACTTCAAAGCTCATGTTTACATCGGCCTCTTCCCTTAACTGCCATTAGAAAGAAATAACATCTGATTTCCATGTCCTGCCTTAGAGCATATCTATTCACAACACATTAAATAAAATCACCACAAATAATCTGCGGTGAACAATAAAGCAGAATTCCTTTCACCCAAACTGTCCTTTTACAGAAACTGAGCTGACTGGAGTTAAACCAAGATTAATTAGGCCTTTTGGAAGGAAAGATGGATGTTAGCAGACTGGCAGTGCTTTCTGAACTCTGTACACTGCTTTGTTAATAATTTTTCAAAGTGCCTAAAAGTACTCTAAACATTATTCAATCAGTCTTTAGCAGGCACTAATTGACATTAGTGAAGACATAAGGACCCAAGAATTTCAGTCAATTACTGAAAGAGAGATAAATGGGCAGACGTCTTTTAAATGACTTCTAACTAAGTGTTAATGTTATTTTTTGTTATATAAATAATAATGAAAGGAAGAATAATGTGTCTGTGTCCTTTAGAATTGATAACTTTTTTTTGCCTATTACGAGCGCTGTTCTGTGTTTTCTTGTTGTTTCTCTGTCTAGTAGGAGTCACTAACCTCTTTACAACTGAACATCCTGTCTAGCCAGAGCTGACCACACCTTTCTTTATCACAATGCCTTCAGAGGAGGGTTGATCTGACACTTTTAGTCCCAAAGCCGACTATTCATGAGAAGGAAAGCCCAAAACTAACCACTGATTAAAAGTTATAATGTTGGGGATATTCTTTACTTTTTCATGATTATTTTAGCTCTTCATCAATGTAAAAAAACAAAACAAAAAAAAAAATGAGGAAAAGAGAAAGAGAAAACTGGTCATGTGGACCCAAGGATGGAAGAAAGGAATAAGGTGTCAACAGAGAGATGAAAAAATAAGAGCTAAAGATTTGAAGAAGAAAAAAAGAAAAGAATAAACTATTTGAAAGAAATAAGGATGCCAGGAATGAAGAATCAGGTACACGATGGAAGAAAGAGCCCAAAGGATGGAATAGAGGAAGGAATCCACAAAAAAAAAAAAAATCAAGGATGGAAGGACACACAAAAAAAATAAAAGGAAATAAGGAAATGAACAAAACCACAGGAAGGAAGGAAGGAAGGAAGGAAGGAAGGAAGGAAGGAAGGAAGGAAGGAAGGAAGGAAGGAAGGAAGGAAGGAAGGAAGGAAGGAAGGAAGGAAGGAAGGAAGGAAAAGACAGAACAGTGGAAGGAACAAAACCACAGGAAGGAAGGAAGGAAGGAAGGAAGGAAGGAAGGAAGGAAGGAAGGAAGGAAGGAAGGAAGGAAGGAAGGAAGGAAGGAAGGAAGGAAGGAAGGAAGGAAAAAAACAGAACAGTGGAAGGAAAAAAACCACAGGAAGGAAGAAAGGAAGAAAGGAAGGAAGGAAGGAAGGAAGGAAGGAAGGAAGGAAGGAAGGAAGGAAGGAAGGAAGGAAGGAAGGAAGGAAGGAAGGAAGGAAGAAAGGAAGGAAGGAAGGAAGGAAGGAAGGAAGGAAGGAAGGAAGGAAGGAAGGAAGGAAGGAAGGAAGGAAGGAAGGAAGGAAAAAACAGAACAGTGGAAGGAACAAAACAACAGGAAGGAAGGAAGGAAGGAAGGAAGGAAGGAAGGAAGGAAGGAAGGAAGGAAGGAAGGAAGGAAGGAAGGAAGGAAGGAAGGAAGGAAGGAAAAAACAGAACAGTGGAAGGAAAAAAACCACAGGAAGGAAGGAAGGAAGGAAGGAAGGAAGGAAGGAAGGAAGGAAGGAAGGAAGGAAGGAAGGAAGGAAGGAAGGAAGGAAGGAAGGAAGGAAGGAAGGAAGGAAGGAAGGAAGGAAGGAAGGAAAAAAACAGAACAGTGGAAGGAAAAAAACCACAGGAAGGAAGGAAGGAAGAAAGGAAGAAAGGAAGGAAGGAAGGAAGGAAGGAAGGAAGGAAAAAACAGAACAGTGGAAGGAACAAAACAACAGGAAGGAAGGAAGGAAGGAAGGAAGGAAGGAAGGAAGGAAGGAAGGAAGGAAGGAAGGAAGGAAGGAAGGAAGGAAGGAAAAAACAGAACAGTGGGAGGAACAAAACCACAGGAAGGAAGGAAGGAAGGAAGGAAGGAAGGAAGGAAGGAAGGAAGGAAGG